GGTTCAGACGATCTTCCTGAAGTTACCGGGCAAGCAAGCGGAGGGCCCAGCAGGATGGCAAGTGAGAGCGAAGCTGCACATCTACCTCTGGTTGGGAGTGTTGAAGCACAAGAAGTCCTTCTACGCTGGACTTCCCCGAGGGTACGAGATGTCCAATGAGTTGAAGCATGCGGATAAGCCAAATGTGCAGGCTCCGACTGACATCCGATACGTGGACAAACACGTATTTCAGCTTCGAGCGCACGTCTACCAGGCGAGATCGTTGATTGGGTCGGATGCTTCCGGGTTGAGCGATCCATACGCAACGGTGTTCATTACCGAGTATTCGAGGACTACGCAGGTGATCGAGGAAACGCTGAGTCCAACGTGGGATGAGCAGTTGGTTTTCGACGAGATTGTGATCTACGGGGCGAAGGAGGAGATCAAGAAAGATCCACCGACGATTGTGATAGATATCTACGACCAGGATAAGGTCGGCAAGTCTGAATTCATAGGAAGGGCCTTGGCAAAACCGAGGATTAAGCTGAAAGATAATCATTACTCGAACCCGGTACTAGAGTGGTTCGAGATAGCTCGAGGACTGGACAATGCCGGAGAGTTGCTAGCTGCGTTTGAAATGCTGGAGTTGGGGTCGGACGACATTCCGAGGCTAACCGATCCGAAGTATATCGCGACGGAGTTCCGTGGTGATAAAACTGGCCCGTCAACGATGACTATCCTACCGGTTCCGAGGGAGGTTCGCCCGAATCTCGCCCGGTTCCGTATCGAGGTACTGTTTTGGGGCTTGCGGGATCTGAAGCGAGTGCACTTCATGACGGTGGACAAGCCACGGATAGACATCGAATGTTCCGGAAAAATACTCAACTCCAGCATCATCCAGAACGCCAAGAAGAATCCAAACTTTGCCAATATGCTCAAGTTCTTCGACTTGGAGCTACCTCTGGAAGAACGGTATGCTCCACCGATCACCATTCGCGCCGTAGATTGTCGATCCTTCGGCAGGTACACTCTTGTAGGAACCCACCAAATTACATCCATTCACAAGTACATGCATAGGGCACCTCCAAAGGACGACACTAGGCGCGTGAACCAAAACGGTCAGATAGTCCTCTCGAAACAGATGGACATCATGGGAAACAACACGGCCATGCCCAATGATAGCTCCATGATGAAGTCGATATCCGGAGATAATCTCACGCTATACGGTGCCGCTTGTGTAAGCAAGGTCGTCAAAGGCAAGAAGCCTAAGAGGAAGCTGGAACACGAAGACACCTTCGATGCGGAAGACGATGACGAATCAAGCAAAGACTGGTGGACCAAGTACTTCCTATCCTACGAACGACTGATTGAAGCCTCGAAGCCTTCAGCCCAATCTCGAGCACTGGAAAATCACGTACAGGCCACCGAAGGTGGTAAGAAACTTGGAGTGAAGACCTCAAAACTGGTGTCCAAACTCAGTCCAAAGACAACTCCGAAAAAGATAGCCACTCCAAACACTGCCACCTGCCACATCTATCCGGGCGAATTGGAATCTCTACCAGAGTACAACAACTTCAAGGAATGGCTCCTATCGTTCCCGCTGTACCGCGGCAAGAAAACCGGTGACAGTACGGAGGACGAAAATCGAATAGTGGGTTTCTTCAAGGGAGCAATCAAGGTATACAAGCTCCCGATCGAGAAGGGCATGGAACTAGCATTCGCTCCAACGCTTCCTCTAAACGATCCCATCCACGTGCTGGTGCGAGTTTACATCGTCAAAGCTACCGATCTGCATCCGATGGATCTGAACGGCAAGGCCGATCCGTACGTGGTGCTCCAGCTCGGCGGCAAACGGGTCTCCGACAAGGAGAACTACGTCAGCAAGCAGTTGAACCCGGTGTTCGGTAAGTGTTTCGAAATCGAGGCGACCTTCCCGCAGGACTCAATGCTGACCGTGCAGATCTACGATTGGGACCTGGTGGGATCGGATGACCTGATCGGGGAAACCAAGATCGACCTGGAGAACCGATTCTACACTAAACACCGGGCGATGTGCGGTATCGCTGCGCGATACGAAGAGTACGTATTCGTTAACTCCGGGAAGGTTGGATCTCTCATGAACTTTGATCGTTTATTACAGCAATGGATACAACCAATGGCGTGATCCCATGAAACCGACGCAGATCTTGACCAAGCTGTGCAAGGAGAACAAGCTGGAACCACCGCAGTACCAGCAGGATCGAGTCATGATCGGTCGGTACTGTTTCACGTTCACCACCGAGGAGATTCAGATGTGGAACCAACCGACAACGTGCAAGTTTCGGGATGAACATCTGGCACTGGCCGTTATCCACCGATGGGAGGAAGTTCCCCGAGTCGGTTGCAAGGTTTGTAGCAAGGAGTTCTGTTGATGGTCGTAGGTGTAAGTGGGTAAGGGTTTCGTTGTAGATCGTTCCGGAGCACATCGAGTCTCGATCGCTGTACAGCTACGATAAACCAGGAATCGAACAGGGTAAGCTGGAGATGTGGGTTGACATGTTTCCGATGGACATGCCCCTGCCGGGACCTCCCGTCGATATATCGCCCCGCAAGCCAAGGTCCTACGAGCTGCGAGTCGTCATCTGGAACACGGACGACGTAGTGCTGGAAGACGATGCGTTCTTCACCGGCGAGAAGATGTCCGACATCTACGTGAAGGGGTAAGTTCGGTAAGGAAGTCAGGAACTGTTCTGTCTTAACGTGGTTTGATTTTAGGTGGCTCAAAGGCCCGCAGGACATCCAAGCGACGGACATCCACTACCGATCGCTCACCGGTGAGGGAAACTTCAACTGGCGGTTCATCTATCCGTTTGAGTATCTGGCCGCCGAAGAGCGGATCGTTCTCTCCCGGAAGGAATCCCTCTTCAGTTGGGATGAGACGGAGGTGAAGATTCCGGCCCGATTGGAACTGCAGGTATGGGATGCGGATCATTTTTCGGCGGATGACTTCCTTGGGGCGATCTCGCTGAACCTGAACCGGTTCCCAAGGGGGGCCAAATCGTCCAAACTGTGCACCCTGGATATGCTCAAGACGGACAACGTGCCGACGGTGAACATTTTCAAGCAGAAACGGGTGCGCGGTTGGTGGCCGTTCTTCATCAAGAAGGAGAACGACGAGATGGAACTGACGGGCAAAGTGGAGGCGGAGATTCACCTGCTCACGAAGGACGAAGCGGAAAAGAACCCCGCCGGGTACGGGAGGAACGAGCCGGATCCGCTGGAGAAGCCGAAGTGAGTATTGTCGGGGGGGAAGAAGCTGTAGAGGTGGATTTGAGGATGTTTCAAGGAACAAGGTATTTACGAAACCTTTCTTGGGATAAAGGTCGAGGTTGAGAGAAGCTGGTGTCTCAGAGATTACCATTTTTGAAATTTTCATATACTCACTAGGTCACTTTCACCTTAATGGGAAACAGATACTCTTTAATAAGTTAAGACACTTTTCTTCAAAATGGGTAATTTTTACCCATCATTGGTTGCTTCAAATTGGCGTGTACATCTAAAATTATAGCAAAAACCTGATATCCTTACAGCCATTATAGAAAGCTTCCATCGCATCTGCTCATTCGCGACGTCGCCATGATGATGCGGTTGAAAGCTTTCCGATGTGAAAGCTCCACTAATATCCAAACTCACCACAACCATTTTTCTTTTCACCTCTCGCTAGCCGCCCGGACGCTTCGTTCATGTGGTTCCTGAATCCGCTCAAATCGATCCGGTACATCGTCTGGCACAATTACAAGTGGCGCATCATCAAGGGCCTGATCATCCTCGGGCTGGCCATCCTGCTGCTGCTGTTCTTCTACGCCATTCCGGGCTACTCCGTCAAGAAGATGCTCGGAGCGTAAGTGAATCGGCAGGAAGTCGGAACTTTCTCTCGCTCTTGAATCAATTTTCATCTTCCGATTTTTCTTATGCGATCACGCACAAACAATCACTGACACACACATAAACTCACCCATGTTGACGGACGTCAGATGAAATTTGTAAACAACAGGTATTGCGTATTATTTCCCTTCTTCCGGAAGGCAAAGCCTTCCGGTGTTCCATTTTCCAAGACTGTACCCTACCTGGTTTATTGTTTATTGGAGTGAGGGTTTTTTTCCTAATTGATTTTAATCGTTTTTGTATGAAAAGTTTTGACTGTTTTCTACTGTAGAATCACGAGAGAATAACATCGAATGACAGCGTTCTTGCATATCAGTATTAAAAAACCATCACTTTTTCAAATCAAAGTAGGCGCTTTAGGAAGAATGGTAATCAAGTCAGTAGAAAGAAACGCGGTGTACAAATATTAGAAATTTAACAAAATACAATATGAATGACATGACATTTTGTAAATAATGTGAACTGAACTGTCATCGTTTTCTCCAATCGAATCATATTTGCCATTCAACTTTATCTTCACAAAATTTCATCCAATTTTGACGCACGAAGACAGACAGAAAACAACGCAAACAGTAAGTAGATAACTTTTAAACTTCCCAAAATCAGAATTTGCCAACTATTTATCTTCAAACAATCCACCATCTGAGCTGATTATAGAAAAAGCTAGTAGTTAGTGTGCGATCAAACAAATCAATAGATATCAAATCCCTCATCATATCGCTCAACAATCTTAGAGAGAGACAGAGCTTCAAGTCAGACCAATCAGTACCAGTACCATGTTAATCATTGTTAAAAATTGATAGACCCCCGAATTGCACAACATTTAAACAAGAATATCAAGTTTTTAAACGTAAATTATTGTTACTGCATATTTATGAAGATGAATTTTATTCCTCAACCAACTCCAGCAGATATCAACGCGCGCGAGTGTGAAAGGTTTTAAATCCCGTTGAAGAAGCTATAGTTATATTTGGAGTTTAATTTTCGTTTGCCTTTGACATTGGAAGTAGGCTCGAACGTCTCAAATGTCACTTCCTCTAGCTCCGCAACAACACGACTTCATAATGGATTGTTAGAAAACGAAACACAGATACCTATACTTATACACAACTCTAAAGCTTTATTTCCTCTACGGATCTACACCTTAAATATGAATGTAAACACCAAAACAAAAACAAAACACGATGCAGCTACTCTCCCAGAGAATCAATCCACCTGTACTACCGACAAGGATCAAAATATTGCTCTTTAATATTAGTAAAATTCTAACTTACAAGTTAATATATTCCAAATTTTAAACACGTACACAAATTGACAACACAAACACAAATAAAAAAAAAACAAAACTTTACTTATGAAGCTAAATAAAAACAAACATTCCAGTGGCACGGCCTGCTATTGATCGATCCGAACCTCCACAAATATGGCGTCGTCCCTGATGTAGTGCTCCGATCGCAGCACCTGGTGCGGAATGTGAATGTACTGATTCTTCTCGTAGTTCTGATGCTTTCTCCGAGCCAGAATGGATCGGCTATAATCGACCGCTGCTTTAGAGCGATCCTGTGGCTGATCCCGAAGCGCTATCATCCCACTCAGTACGCACGGCCACTCCAGCAGGTTGTCGTAGTAGCCGCCTACCACGACCAGTCCCACGATCATATTGCGCCCCCGCCACGTACCGACCCCATTGAGACTGGCCTCCAGCTGTCAAACCGGAAAAAAAATATAAACAAAATATCCATCACGCATCAGGATTGAACTCACCCTCAGAGTATAGCCGAACGGTTTGTTGCTAAACATTGGACTCTTCATCATGAACTCGCTCTGCTGCGACTCTTTGAAGCGCTTATCGAACTGATCGATACGCCAAATCAGATGCCCTTGGGTGTTCTGGATCACCACCAGCTTATCCTGGTGCTGCAGGTGCACCTGCAAATCGTCCAAGCTCTGCTTCGTGTAGTAAGTTTCCCGACGGTACTTCTCCAGCGTTTTCTGCGTCTTCTCACTCGCATCTTCCGTTTCGTTGACAGTGTTCAGGACGCTCTTCAGCTCGTAGTCCAGCTTGGCTTGCTTGTCCAGCTGCTCCTGGATCACCAACCGCATCGGATCCATCTCGCCCCGCAACTCGAACATCTGCTTCTTAACCTGTTCCTGGAATATGCTGCAAGTGACCCACAGGTAAGTAAGAACTTTTGAAACTCCCCCAATGTATCAACCAAACTTACCGAATCGAGCTGTGATGATCCTCCAGAACCAAGTCCACCGTTTCCATCTTACTCTCAAGCTCCCCAATAGCTGCACTGTTTCTTCCCGTCGATCCGTTTGACTGCGCCGCTTGAATTTGCTGCGGCGGCTTCTGCGCCAGCCGCAAATTCTCCACCTCTGACTGCAAATAGTTCAGCCGACTCTCGATCATCACCATCTTCGCATCCTTCGGTTTCCCACCATCCCCATCCACCTCAACCTCCTTCTTCAGCTGCCCTTCGATCTGGTTGAACCTTGTAGTCAACTCCAGGCGCCAAGCTTCTATTCGCTCGAACTGTTTCATCAACCCATTGATATCCACCTTGCATCGTTCGACATCCACGCACCGGCTGTCCGTTTCCTCGTTGATGACCTTCTTCAACTTGTTCAGCACGTCCCCGACCTTCGCCGTCCACTCATCGCCCAGCTGCGTTCGCTTCTTCAGCTGGCCGATGTCCGTAATCAAAGCCAAGCGCTGCCGAATTTCGTCATTCAACGTTCCCCTCAGGGCGATGATTTCCTGCTCCAGCTCGAGGGTCTTCTCCTGATTGGCGGGCAGCTGTTCACCAAATCCGGCCGGACAACGGTTCAGATGGCGATCCATGTCCTTCAGGGCGACATACACTCCGCAGCCGTTCGAGCACTTCTGCAGTACCTGACCGCAGGCGGCTATGTGTGGCTGGAATTGGGCGTTGTAAAAGTCAACAGGTTAGTTTGGAAATGATATCTTATCGCTGCGGCACACGCACTCGCATGCGCGGTACTTGAAATGGAGGATTTTTCGCGGGGAAAAGCATGGCTTTTCCAAACGTTCGGTATGTGAAAGACCTTTACCTGAAATAATGTCTTTTAACTGAAAGTCAGCTAACTGGAACCAGTTTCAGTTGAATGATACGTATGTGTGTGTGTGTATTTCTTCTAACCCCCACTGGTCGGCAGTGTCATTATGGAGGAACTCTCTCTACAATGTCGCATTTATGGTCATTGTAGATAGCTTTAGTCCGGGAGTTAGAAAGTGATCCAGCAACCCATTTCAGAATGTCTGGAGAGTCACGCCCATTCCGAGGTTACTTTCACTTACAATAAGCCCCGCATGTATGCATCACTGTTATCAAATGGATATTGTTATTACATACACGCTTCCAGGTTCGAAAATATTCTTTTCAAACCTGGCACGTGTGTAGTTTATGTTTATTTTTTATTGTTAAATGTATTTGGACTGTTCTCACCATGTTTATTTGTCCTCCAATCCATGGGTTCCGTAATTTTGATTTTCTCTAAGCTATGCATCTCATTTCGTGATGCACCTTTGTCATAATACTTCCTTTAACGAACACAAATTTTCTTGCATTGCCATGGTCATCTGGGAGGTCTAGTGCTTTCCCCAGGAACAGTTCACGGCCACCAACTGCCACACGTCCAGTCTTCGACGTATCCAGCGAGGCATCTTTCATATTGCTCGCAATCTCCAACACCGGCAAGAGACCAGCAGCCGAGCACTTTTGCATGCGGAAAACTTGCAGATTCACGGCAAAGTCGGCCACCGAATCCCCACCAAAACTCGCGATGGACACATTATCAACACGCTCCCGGGCTAATTCACCAACCGGACTGATCTCTCAATAGAACTTCACGCCGAAAGTGTAGCATCCGAACTCGGAGAACCGGGCTCCCGGGAGGCAATGAAAATCTACACTGAAGCTGTATCGTATATTTTGGAGGTTAGCTTCAAGGTCAACCGAGCCACTCAAGGCAAATTCAGGCAAAACACGATATATCACTAAATTATAACTTTACGAACACTTGAAACTAAATTTCAGTACACAACAAAAATTTAACAAATTTAAAGCCAAAACGTGTTTAATTCGCTTACGAAAAATACGCAGCAAAAGAAAAAACACGTCAGCTTTCAAGTGCGGCTTACTGCGATCAATCAAGTTTCAGTTGAATTATACACGAAACGAAAATCAATTATTCTATCCATGTGTTTCACTTATACATTTTTGCCAAAACATCAGCCTTATACATTCCATAAGACAAACTACATAGGTCCTATAAGAATGCATAAAAGGTATGTGTGACGTTAAATAAATGAAAGAAGAAGAAGAAGCTCTGGACAACTGGTTTGACATATGCAATGCAAATCAGTTAGTGGATGCCGTTTGCATGATTGACCGCCCACGGTTGCTGTTTTGTTATTGTCAGATCAGCTGCAATTAGGTACACAGAGAAATAACAGGTGATGTTTGGGACTAACATTCATCACAGAGAACAGACGTCCAAGTTCGATCAGAAACTTGTGTAAAGTTAAGTGGAAACGTCGCCGTTACGTACCGCTAGCATCTCCTGATTTCCTCTATAAATTTTCCACTTTCGACCAATTTGGCGCTAGTATCGATAAATTATCTGTTGAAAATTGCCACTTGATGCTACCAGCACTTAGTGTCTAGTGTAAGTTTTGCAACGCCAGCGCCATCATGTTGTCTCATAGTGGTTTTAAGTGGGGAAGTCGCCGTTAGTGGCGCTTAAGTCAAATAGGAATCTTTAAACAAGTTTTTAGAGAAATTTTGTTCGAGCCTCAATGTCTGTTCTCTGTGCATTCATCCTCAATGTGTAAAAACTGGAGATCAAATATTTAGCAATACCAGTGCTGGCCGGGATGATACCCCTCGGTTCGTTAATCGATTCGGATATAAATTGGACATCACTAGATGAATGTGAAACGTCATTTCAAATATCTAGATAGAACAGGAATTAGGGCGTAGCAGCTTTTGTAAACAATGACAATGACAATGACTTGAATTTATAGAAATCATTAATAGAAGTCGTTGTTTACAAAAGCTGTTAGGCCCTAATTCCAGCTCTATCTAGATATAAGGGCTATTCATAAATAGTGAGAAAATTTAAAAGGGACCGGGGCTAATCACAAAATACGTCCCTTGGTAACTGAAATAAACACGAGTGCTGACCGGTTGATACCAGCGCTGGCCGTGTCCGGATGCAGGACAAATAGGGAATGGAAAGGACTGTGTTGACGTGATACTCGTTGTGAAGGAAACCGAGAAGTCCTCTGCGCTTCCACGAGAAATCACTGGGATGTTGGATCATTCCGTCATCAAATGCCTCCAATGTTAACCAAAGTCCCGGTTTCCATTTGACGTTTGTCAGCTGCTAGCTTCTGGCACTTGAGAAACTTGAATTAAGTCCTTCCTTGGCATAACACGATCGCACCGAACGATGGGACGTTGAGGGTTTGGTGGCTTGACAGCGGTTAAAGGAACGAGCTGGGGAATATTACAGGACGTAGAGCTTGTAGCTCCTGCACTCGCTGAGATCCAATGATCGTCCGTTACTGTTGATTGGCCAACATCTTGAAGTTCGGTTTTGGTGGCGATACAGAACCGGACAATCGAATCCAGGTCCATCTATGGTAGTTCTTGACCGGATCAGCACCCAAGTGTAAATACAACACTGAACGACGCCATTTCATTTAAACAGTCAATCACAGGTAATCACTGGAACTTCGAATAACGAAAAATGTGCTCCAATTACAAGACAAACTGTCACTCATAAATTATTAATTTTCCCAAACTTTCAAACACGACAGAGAAAACAAACGTCACGTCCGTACGCACGCACAGCCTACTCTCCACTCTCAGTTAGTGGATGCCGTTCGCTAAATGAAAAGTACAAATGCGAGTAAACCATGTTTCAGATAGCGAACGATGGGTGCTCACTTGTCATTACTCTTCTGTTCATTGTTCATGCCTTGTTCAGACTGGAGAGTTATAACATGTTATAACGGTTGTCAAATAATTGCAACACAGAGACCACCATCAAGATAACGCTTATAACATGTTATAACTCTGTAGTCTGAACGTACTATTAAGCTCCATCGAGGAGAATACGCGATTGAATCCAGATATTCGAGAGTGTCTATGTGGGAGTGAATTCAATCTAGCTGGCAACAGAGTTCGTTTCTTTCGTAAGGGCTATTTAATATCGCAATTATAATCAATGCCTTCTTTCGCAATTTTTTTGAGAATGAAAACTCACCCAAGTAAATCAAAACAACGATTGTGTAGAACTAGAGTCTCTCCATCTGATAGAATTGGTGGTTTATATGGATAGGCAATGAGCTACAAAAAATTTACGAAAGAAGCATTATGAATGCTCACTATTGAATATTCAGATTATTATTGGTTTGCTCCAGCGGACAACGGACATTGGCGATGCTAATAAGGGTGCCGCCTGGTCTTCTCCAGAATGATCTAGCCCCCCTCCAGAATTTTTAGAAGATTTATATAATTTTAATTATTGGAATTAGAATCACAAAAAAAAACTGGAAATGGCCTGGATCATTCTGGAGAGAGCCAGGAACCTTTGGCACCCCTTATTAGCAACGCCATTGGCAACGGAATGGTTTTTGACTGATCTCTAGAATTCTAAATCTGTGGTATCCAGTTCCGCTCTGTCAGTTTTCGTTCCACAAAAAGAACTAGAGGACGGTCCGCAGAACTAAGGAGTACTATGCCGTAAAATATTTGGAAAGTTCCTGAAGACGGTGTCATCTGAGTAGGATGAAGTGCTCGAAATAGATTCCTGTTCGGTATGCAAACCCTCTCAAAGTTGTGTTCAAATGCGAGAAGAAAAGCAGAAACTTTATCCCCTGCGTCGATCGAAGAAAACGGACGGAAAGCTCAGAATTGTTTTGCTGATGGTATGCGGGGTAATGTAAAGAAGAAAATTCTTCAAAAATATCATCAAGCGTATTTTGCATGCGCACTAGCACCATCTTTCATCCACATTCCCAAGCAATGTTTTGCAACTCGTGCATGTAATTTTTTCGCTAGTTACTTTTCCCGCGTCAGCTGTGTTGAATAAAAACAAAACAGATGGAAGTCAGTTATGTCGGTTCTACGAAATTTTCCGAAGATCTATAGAATTGATTGACTTCTGCAGAAATACGGATCCGTAGGAAAAATTCTCAGAAGCTATGTCTTTTGTTTGTGTTCAGTTCACCCACAGCCGAACTGAAGAAGAAGCAGTGTCTAGCAGTGAGCAGGAAATGTATTACTAACGCCCGCCCCTCTTGCAAAGTGAGCGAGACTGGGAGCATAATAGCAGGGGTACAACTGTGAGAGAACGCCCGCCTCTTTTGCAAAGTGAGCGAGAATGATATGATAGCATAAAAGCAAGGGTACAACTGTGAGAGGACGCAACTTTTTGTTCAACCGTCGACTGTGTCGCACCAAGCAAGTGCAAAGAAGCCCATCCAGGAAGCAGAACAGAGAGCATCTGCGGTATCGCGATTAATTTCACCGTACGGTGCACATCGAAGTAGAGGAGAGCAACAACAGCATAAAAAGGAATGTGTCCACTGCGGTGCATTCCAGTATAAATTTAGCAGTTGAAGAGAGAACATTAACATTAAAAATATGTAGAGAAGGAAAATAAATCAGTGTGAAAAGTGAACTTCTCCCGCGCTTTGCATCCGATCTCCGAACGTCCAATCCAACACTCCATATCATAACAATAAGAGTTTTAGAACTTTCAGCCTTTTTCAAGGCTCAGCGAGTTATTGCAAAGGTTGTTGCTAGCCAAGCGGGCTAGTCCAATCCAACCACGTCGTAGCTATCCGAGTAAAGCCAAGTCTAGGTGTTCGGGCCAGCTGCCCTC